TAATAATAATAATAATAATAATAATAATAATAATAATAATAATAATATAGGGAATACTAATGCTCTGATGGTCATTTTGAAAAATCTTTTCTTAGTGAGCACCTAGAAGCCAAGAGGAACATAAGTGCCCAATTTCAAATTTGTAGGCTTTATGTTTCTGGAAATTTTGTGGGATGCTTGAGTGGTCTTTTGCTTTTATATATATAGATATATATGTGTGTAAATAAAACAGTATAAATGTATGTTTTATCAATGGGAATAAAATATAAAACAGAAAAAAACATATATCCAAACAGAACAAAAAAAACATGTACAAAAAAGGGAACAAAAGAAAGAAAATGACACAAACTTCCAATATCCCCCCCCAAAAAAGAAATAAAAAATTTGATAAATTAACCTGCCCTTACACAATGGGTCTGCAAATACCGTTTCCCCAAAAATACAGTCTGCCTCGAAAACAAGCCCTAGCTTGTTTTTTCACACCTGCGCCAAATATAAGCCCTACCCCCCCCCCCCCAAAATAAGCTCTAGTTCAGGGGTGTCGAACCTTGGTAACGTTAAGCCTGGAGGACTTCAACTCCCAGAATTCCCCAGCCAGCTTTGCTGGCCGGGGAATTCTGGGAGTTGAAATCCTCCAGCAAAGCTGGCTGCTGAAGTCCTCCAGCAAAGCTGGCTGGGGAATTCTGGGAGTTGAAGTCCTCCAGGCTTAACGTTACCAAGGTTGGACACCCCTGCTCTAGTTATTCCCCACTCACCATCTGGCCACGCGGCACGTCATGCGGCTGCTGCTGCTGCTCACGTGTGCCGCAACACAATGCACCACACAGCCTCCTGCCACAAGCCGCACCAGCATAATGAGCCGCCCTGTTGCGAGTAGCTGCGAGCGGCTGCAGAAGGAGTCAGGTTGCGGCACAACCGGTTGTGGCCTGGGAGGCCTGGCTGCGATGGTCCCCTAAGGTAAGTGGGTAAGGCATCCCCCAAAATAAGACCTGGTGCACATTTTGGGGCCCAAAAGAAAATAAAACCAGCTCTTTATTTTCGAAGAAACACAGTAATTTTCTCGTCCTTATTTAACAAGAAGAATATATTATGTATATAATCAACTAGGGTGATTAAAGGCCTGGAGACTAAAACATCGGAAGAACGGTTGCAGGATTTGGGTACGTCTAGTCTAATGAAACGAAGGACCAGGGGTGACATGATAGCAGCCTTCCAATATCTGAGGGGCTGCCCCTAAGAAGAGGGAGTCAAGCTATTCTCCAAAGCACTCAAAAGCAGAACAAGAAAAACAACACATGGAAACTAATCAAGAAGAGAAACTACCTATCTACCCCCAGCAAAACCAGCCAAAATGTTCCAAATACATTACCTAAATATTGGAGATGTAACCATAAACAGGGAACATGCTTTCATATGTGGTGGGCCTGCCCCACAATGCACGGAAATACTGGCAAAAATTAGATTACGGTTAGAGGAAATAACAAGACAGAGAATAAAATCTAAACAACTTTTTTCACTCGGCATGCTAGAACCGAACATGAACAAGAAATATCAATACCTGATGCTCCATATCATAACGGCTGCTAGAATTACTTTCACCCAAAATTGGAAGCAGGCTATGACCCCCACCCCCCCCAGAATCAATAATAATTAATAAAATACATAAATACGTGCTGAGATGGATAGATTAACGAAGTTATTGAAAGATAAGGAAGAAGGAGAGTGTTGTAAAATATGGGATGTCTGGTACGAACAGATAAAAAAAGTTGAATGATAAGCTTATAACATCATAAAACAATAAGGTTTATATGTGTAAATAAATGTAAATAAATATGTACTTATGTATGTATATATAATGCTTAAAATGACGAAGAAGTAAACGCAAAGATGGATAACGTTAATAGAAGTGAAATGCAAATGTATACACTGCTTCAGCAACATAGTAAAATGTGAGCATTTGTTTTTAACTGACGAAACGTTGAGTAAATAAATTTATTTAAAAGGAGAGAAGCAACCAGGAATTAAGGAGAAACTTCCTAAGGGTGAGGACAATTAACCACTGGAACAGCTTTTGTTCCACTGGCCATTCTTCTGACAAGCAAAGTCAACGGGGAAGCCAGATACACTTAACAACCGTGATAAAATTCATAGATGAATTTTATCAAACAAGTTTGCTGTGCAGCAGGTCCGTGTGTGTGTGTGTGTGTGTGTGTATGTGTTTGAAGCAGGAAGACTCCGCTCCGGGTTTAATTATCTTCCGTTCTCCTCCCGTAGGTCGCCATAGCAGGAGCCCCCGTCACCGTCTGGATGGCTTACGATACCGGATACACGGAGCGGTACATGGATGTGCCAGAGAACAACCAGCAAGGCTACGAAGCGGGCTCAGTGGCCCTGCATGTTGAGAAACTCCCTAACGAGTGAGTATTCTGGGAGGATATCTGATGGGGTGGGGGGTGGGGAGCGTGGAGGGAGGGGTACAAGGAGGAGGCCTCCTCAGCAAAATTCACAACATCTCCACATTGAGACGGACAGTCAGGTGAGGTTAGCCAAGGTAAAGATTCCCCTTGCACATAATGTGCTAGTGTTCTGACCCAAATCTGGTTCCAAGGAAGCAAACACGGCACAAAGGTAAACAGCACAACCTTTTAATGTTTCTTTACGAATCCTGTTCCTTCCTGGGTAAAAAGGCTGCTTCAAACCAATTATCTCCAATAAGAAAGAGCCTTGCCAAGGTTTTCGCAAGGCTGCCAAGAACATTACATAAAGTTACTAAGAAATATTTCAAACCCAAAGAATCTCCAAACCACCAACCAAGATATTCCGAACGTCCGCAAGGCTTGAGTGCAAAAACTTCTTTGCTTCCTGCAAGGAACTGCGTTTTCTCAGCTGGCTTTTATCTCCTCAGGGAGGGGCCATCACCTTGCCGCCTTACTCCATGAGTCTTTTCTTTCCTCACTGACCAAGTAGAGACGGTTGACCCTTGTCATATGTGGAAATTATATATTGTGAGTTACATCTGAGAAAATGAAGAACGGAAGAGATTCCGTGTTTATCTGATATATAACCTATAAAATGATTACTGGACAGTTGTATGACTATCTTAACAAACACATTATGTTTTGTAACTTGTTAAGTTTTAAAAGTAAAACGTCACGTCCTTGGCTGGAATGGGGGTTGTATTTCTTGGCTTAAAGATTAATGTAAGAGATCCTAAGTCATCCTGACCCAACAGAAGAAACCTGTTAATGTTCCGTTGCGTTTAGACGGATATAGCAGGAAGAAGCCATGAGAACAAGGGCCGTTTTCTAAGGCAAAGAAAAACGGGGGAAAGGGAATGTTGATGATATCCTTTGCGCGCGAAAATCTCAGATCCAGGTTTGCCTCTTCCGTGGCAAAGCTTTGGCTTTGGTAATGGATATCTTTTGTCTAATCATGGGCCATGAGTCTTGTCTTTCCTCACTGACCAAGTAGGGACGGTTGAAATTTACCCTGGATCATTTTTTCCTCTCTCTCTCTCTCCTTTCCAGGCCCAACCGCTTGCTGATCCTCCACGGGTTTCTGGATGAAAACGTGCACTTTTTCCATACCAGTTTCTTGATCTCCCAACTAATCCGGGCTGGGAAACCGTATCAGCTACAGGTAGGTGAGAGTGCCGGAGATGAGCAGGGCCCCCTCCTGCCCCCTGGGATCAGAAGAGCATTATAGTTGGTAAGGTGCAGGTCCCTGCCAGCTCAGGTACTGGTATTTCTTTAAGTTTATATCCGGGGGGGGTGGTGGTCCTTGGTGCTCTCTTGAGCTTGGGATGGTTTTCTTTCATGACCCAACTAGGTAACACCATTAGTAGGTAGTGGGGTTTGTGGGGAGGAGGGGGAAGGGGAGGGGGAGGAGGAGGAGGAGGATGCAGAGGGGAGAAAGAGAGAGGAAAGGAGAACGACTGTGGGGTCCTTGGTGCTCTCTTGAGCTTGGTTGGCTTTCTTGTAGACCTTTCATGACCCAACTAGGTAACGTCGTCAGTGCTAGGAGGAGGAGAAGGAGCAGGGGGAAGAGGAAAAGACTGTGGGGTCCTTGGTGCTCTCTGAGCTTGGTTGGCTTTCTTG